AGCTATAGCTCATACTTTTTTTTTACCCCGCCATTTTCCAGTTGTTTCGTATTCCATGACACCTACAGATGACAAGAGTCCTCTGCAGGTTGATAAATGCCAGTTAAAGCCTAGTTTTAAGCTTAAATAACGATGATACTCAACTAGGCCCATGTGGCCGAATCTGGGAAAAACGACCAGGTTAAAAATAGGCCAATTTTGGTAAAAACCGTGAGCTATAATAGCTCATACTTTTTTTTTGGACGATTTTTTTGACCCCGCCATTTTCCAGTTGTTTCGTATTCCATGACACCTACAGATGACAAGAGTCCTCTGCATGGTGATAAATGCCAATTAAAACCTAGTTTTAGGCTCAAGAAAAGATAAATCGGATGATACTCAATTAGGCCCATGTGGCCGTATCTGGAAAAAACGACCAGGTTAAAAATTGGCCAATTTTGGTAAAAACCGTGAGCTATAGCTCATACTTTTTTTGGACGATTTTTTTGACCCCGCCATTTTCCAGTTGTTTCGTATTCCATGACACCTACAGATGACAAGAATCCTCTGCATGGTGATAAATGCCAATTAAAGCCTAGTTTTAGGCTCAAAAAAAGATAAATCGGATGATACTCAATTAGGCCCATGTGGCCGAATCTGGAAAAAACGACCAGGTTAAAAATTGGCCAATTTTGGTGAAAACCATGAGCTATAGCTCATACTTTTTTTTTGGACGATTTTTTTGACCCCACCATTTTCCAGTTGTTTCGTATTCCATGACACCTACAGATGACAAGAGTCCTCTGCAGGTTGATAAATGCCACTTAAAGCCTAGTTTTAAGCTTAAATAACGATGATGATACTCAACTAGGCCCATGTGGCCGAATCTGGGAAAAACGACCAATTGGTCACACTTCCCCTACAGGAGCGTATGTTAGAACGTAGTCGATCTATGCCTTTTTCATTCAACTTGTATAGCATATTGTCAAGAATGTTTGAGGCACGAATGACGATAATGATAATGACGTCAAATCTCTCTAATAGGGAGGTTTTGCAAGCTTGAGAAAACGATAACGAATACGCCAGCGAACGTATAGTCAATACATTCATGAATTAAGTTATGACTTTAGGGTCATCTATGCCTATTACATGACTTAACGATCATATTCAGCTCGTATATGTATTGTTCACAATGTTTTAGGCAGAAATGACAATAATGATGATGACATATTCCTATACGTTATCGTTTTCTCAAGCTTGCGAAAACTCTTTTATTTTGGCTATTGGCAACCCTTGGCACAAATGCCTAATAATAAGTAATAATAATAATAATATTGTATGTCATACTTCGAATAAAACAAGCAAATCATTTGAAACAATCTGTCATTTTTGTGTATACTTTATTCAATAATTTGAATATCTGCATTTTATTTTGTATAATATTAATAAAAAAAAGTGTTCTTTGTCTTAGCAAATGTTTAATGTTTACACTTACCGGTCTGTAGATACATTTTAAATAAAATTTTTACACACTTCACCTTTAAATACTACAACCGATGTATTTAGCAAAGCTCTCAACTAAGGTACTCATTTTTAAGGGGCAACTTTATAAGTTGAATAGCACTAATGAAGTGGGAATATCATTTATTTATTCTTAGCTTTAAAAGCATTATGTATTTAGGCTGAAAGGTAATAGACATGACTAAGTGGTAATTTTGTTATTAGGATTTTCTAAATTAAAAATAGGCTCCTAATAAGAGTGGAAGTATACTGCAGATACTGGATGAAAATTACTGGACAGGGTGCTATCAGCCACTGGTCAACTGTCAAAATGAGGACCAATCACCAACTCCCTGATGACATTAAGGTTGGATAGGAAGTTGGAACGCCAACTTATGATGAACCCTAACACATTCCATTTTACAAAAAAATTCTACTACTGTACCACATCATAGTGTTTATCTCTATTAATAATAATAATAATCAGTATTAACAGAAAAAAACACTGGACAAATCACTTGTTACTTGGTGCCCTTTAGGGCTTATTCCTTGCGGTCATGAAGTGCTAACTAGCCTCCAGTGTAATTAAAATTTCTCTCAAGTACAGCCCACCCCAATCAAAACCAACAAAATTATACTGTTCCATATCAATAGCAACAAGTAAGCATAATTATCCAAAATCTCTACAAATATTATTCAGAATTGCAGTTGATACAATATACAGTATTACTACAGCAATCACATGGCCATGGTGGATGGGCATCACATGACCATGGTTGGTCAGGTGACTCTGTGACGTGTCAACCTGATTGCCATTTTACGATGATAACATCTCCATATTAAGTAGTTGCATGGTGTCGCTTATGATCGCTGTAGCATCAAGCTTCTTCTCAACTCCAACACGAAAAGCTTTCTCAAGAAGAATGCGAGCCGATTCTAAATGAGACAAACACACAATTGTTTGAAAATTGATGTTAATTTAGTTATGTTCTGACATTTGCATTTGAGTTTGTTGACATTTGTAACAAGTTGACACTGAGTTGGATTTCATAAGAGTAGAGCTACGTACATAAGGTAGAAAGAGAAACAAATATTCAATGTACATTGTAATCTAATTAATATTAGGTAAAGTAAAACAAACACAACATGGTTTTATTTTGGTAAAGCAGTGAATTCTACTTCCCTCATTGGATGACTGGGATTAGGGGCGGCACAGGACCCCTCGTTGGGGAATTCCTGGCACCGTCCCTGACTGGGACTACCTCCCTCCACTTTAGAAGGTAGTCCTGATCATCCAACACCTTGGGGAGTGAAACTCAGTACTTCACCTCAAAACATGTATTTGTATACTACACAACAAAACAGCTATTTTGTGCTTGCTTACAGTTTTTACAATACAATATAAACAAATTTAAATTGAATTTATTTTTACCTTGACAGAGTAGACAAAACTCTGGCAAATGTTTAAGCGCTGTCTCGATAACTTCATTGTCTGAGCTGTCTAAACATTGCAAGAATGCTGGCAGAAACTTGATGGATGTGCTACACAAATGAGACAAAATTATGGTTGTAGTGAATGGGTCGATTTACACATAAACATACATCCATAACAAAAAGGTAATTAGCTTTCCCCCACAGGACACCATCTTGTTATTTCCAAGTCAAAGTTTCGGCATTTGAAAATTGACATTGTGATTATAATTGGCTTAAACTGTAACATACAAGTAGTGTTATTATACAAATATTATCCCAGTGAATTTTACCACGATTTAACTATTTGATTATATAATTGATGTCTCACCTTGGATTCTGGCGAAGAAGTTTAATGATGAGAGAAAATGCCATAATTCTACACTCAACAGAAGGAGCACACATTAACCTCATCAGGTCTGCCTGCAAAAATCAAGAAATGTTTAAGAGCAACGGTTATTTTGTGAGATCATAATATGAGGATTGCCATTCCAAAACCAGCATACTGTTGCTAACTGTTAAACTGAAGCATAAGAATGCTCAAACCTTTAACAAACCTGTTTTGGTTTTAGTTCTGGTTTTGGCATGGCTAGCCCCATAATGTTAAAAATAATAAGTGTTGCTGCTTGTAATCAGCACAGGAGCAGGCAACCCCACCAGGTAGCCATTTATATTCCTGGGTGGAGAAAAGCAATGCAAATCTTTATCTGCATTGCAGACAAAATGCTGTTAATTATACTAATTTATTAAGTCTGTACTTACTGCAAAGTTGTCAAGGACCTGTGGGATTCTACTTGACTGCTCATCAAGGTCATGCAAAGCATCTGTGACATCTGAAAACACAAATTCAATACATCGACTTTTATCACATTCACATATAAGTTTTTGGTTGAGATCAGTGGCGGCTGTAGGAAGGAGGGGAGGCTAAGCTCTCTGATAGGGCGAGGGGGCTTTAGGTTGTATGCCGCATACAAGACCTTTTTATTAAACAGGGGCTGCTGGATGGCCAGAAATGGCACTCTCAGACTGTGACAGACATGTGTTGGTTTGGCATAGGCCTTTTTTTTGGGGTCTGACTGCCCAACCGGCAAAACATGTTTTAGAATGTCAACATTTTCGAAATCTGTTTTATTGCATAAACTAAACCTTTATATATCCATATGTTTATATTTGGCCAATTTTTTTATGTTAAACAACAACATACAATGATTTTGCGATGGTCTGAGAAATGGCCGAAAACTTTGAATTTAACTTCTCTTGTTTAACTGCTCCTTTGTAGTCACAAAGAGTGGTGCATAATAAGCTATGAGCTAGCTAGGTTGTAAGTCGCAGCTGGGAAATTGTAGTAAACAACATTCAATTTCACTATGGACAGTTTCAATATACCTTCAAAATCCTGGTGGCTACTTAATCTATCAGTGAATTTGGCTATCAAAGATGGTCCCCAAATCTGGTCCTTACACACAAGCAAAGTGGGAGAGGCCGTGCTGTCTCTGCTAGGTAAGCCAAACACCTCCTCAGCCGTCTCTGCCTTGAAGGTGTTGTCTGTATTATCTGCATGATCCTTGGACGTATGCGTCAGCGTTATGCCAGCCAGTATGCATTTTAATTGGTGTAGGTCAGGTAGCACCAGTGATAATTCACTATTAAAGGTAAAAATGTGATTTTATATACAAAATATATATTACATACTACGTTCATAAATGTCTGTAAATAATAACAGTGCTCAAATAGGAACATGTAATAATCGTATCAAGCATATCTCATCAACAAACATTTGTTTATTTCACTGTTATTATGTATCTGTAAAACACAACTTACTTTAAAATAGTGGCATGAATTATTTCACAGTTATTATTTATTTATAACACAACTAAATAGATCCCTGTCATTTGATTAGTGGATTTTGTATTACATGAAATTGATTATTCATCCCATTTCATTCATCGCTGAAATTTATTTCCATCTCTGCATTTTTTTTATCCAATGCATGGTGTCTGAATTGATTTCAGCCTAATGCAATCTTTTAATAGGTCAAAAAGACGCAGGACTGACTCTTTCCAGAAGTTTAAATCTATGAAAGGACGTCACATCACCAATAACATAACCCTCATTTTCTTCGTTGTGGCTCTTAGTCAGTGGTTGAGGCCTGGGCCTACTTCTCGCTGATTGCCTTAGCAGTGTGAAATATATCAGAGATTTTTTTAGTGTAAAGTAGTTTAGTTGCGTGGATGATACCTCAAAATCTGTGCAGACTTCAGCCCTTAATTTCCGGAATGCACAACAGAATTCTAGATTGGGCCTAGGTTTTGTATGAAGGACATATTTCCCGAGCAGGCGACCAGCCTTACTTCTACAATCTGGGACATTTGCTTGAAAGATGATCAAATGACAAGGAAATTTGTTGAAAGATTGACTGTTCCATTCAATGAGGCAGAGCTCATGAAAATATTCTTCCCATTGCACTCATAAACATTCACTATTTGTATACTATTCGACTGTGGAACAACTTACTTTAGAATAGTGGCATACTTTTCAAGGATGGCTTGTGCAGCAGTGGGGCAGAATGCATTGTACTCATAAAGCAACACTACAAAACGCCGGTACATAACCTCAAATGCCTTCTTATGAACTCCATAACGCTGCAGAAAAAAATATCCCCTTTGAATAAATTATTTAAAAGTGAATAGTCTATAAATACACAAGTACTTTATCTGTGCTGCAGGGCAATGACAATCATGAACAAAATTAAATAATAACATCAGAATCATGTTATCATAAAAATAAAATTAACAAAGAACAATTATCATTCCTGATGATGACATAATTAATGTTGAAATATTGAATCCCAACTCGATGGCGTGCATTTCAATACTTGGAGTATGTATTATACTTTCTTATAAGTACAATTATCAATTTTAAATAAACATTTTAATGTTACAATGGAATTGTTATTTAAATTATTTACTTAAATTATACAACCATAATGTTGGCTTAGTTATTGAAATGTAATGTTTTATAGTATTTTTAAAATTCAACATTTTTAAATTTTTGTAATAACACGATATACTTTTTAATTTCTTAAAATGAAATTTAAGATATCTAAATCGCCACAATAGGTTAGTCACCAGTTTCACTACAACACTGTCAGTACTGTTCCAGTGGGCATGTGCCTCAAATTACTTGATAACTGTGTAATGTCGCTAGTTCATTCTTAATTTGATACTGGTAAATTGTTTCTGATTAATTTTAGGATAGTTCATGGGTTAGTTTTCTTTTTCCTTTTCTTTTTTATATTCTTCAATCCACGATTTTTTAATTGTGTAAGGCACTATACAAGTCACTTACCATTTCCATTTTACATACCAAAATAATTTGGTTTCCTTTGGAAATCTCAAATTGTTGAAGATTTGGAATCTGTTGGCTTACCTTAATCACCCCAAAGTAGGCATCAAGGATTGAGTGAAATGCATTGACATCTTGCTTAAACAGCTGAGGCTCTAGCAGTTCCATCAAACCCAAGATATTCATGAAAAATACGGTGAGACCTCGGTTCCTGAACTCATGGAAGCTGACGTTGGTGCGACCCTGACACAGCACGGATATCATTCCAAGTTGTCTAAAATCCAGGGATTGAAATTGAAAGGAATAGAATGTGGATTTTATACCTGCCTTATTCTCCATAGCCTCGTCACTAACCTTGCCAACACTCTACACTCAATTCCCCAATACACACACAACATACCAGAAATCTACTTTGGAATGTATAATATCATACATGCCCAGAAAATTTATAAGGTCAGGAATGTAATTTTATGCACCTGTTTGCATCAGAACCGAGTTGTGGTTCCAGAAACTTGCTGACAGGGGGCCGAACCAACGGGCTGACTAGAGCCTTGGCCAGGGTCCCGGCTTTTACATTTGAATTGTATATTTTCTAACCTTTTTTATTGCAATGTATAAACAAAGATTTTCTAGTGTTTTTTAATTTTTTTAATATATTGGACCAATAAAGAAAGCTGAAGTTTCTGAGCTGAAAGTCAAATTTATATTATTGAAGTTCAAATATATAATTGAAGTCTAATTATTTTGCTGGTTTAGACACTGAAGGTGTACCTAATAGTTTTGACAGTAGGTAGTTTGTATTAAGGCACCATTTACCTACCTTAGCATGAGGATTGGGTGAACAGAGGCTAGCTTTCTACATGCTGAGTTTGCTTTGGATACCTTTGTTTTCCACTTGTCCTGGTTGTGTACATCCACCAATGACAGCAGCAGTCTGTGTGTTAATGCGTCCACCTTTGCATGGTTGTTACTCATGAGCACATCACCTAGGTTCACCATGGCAACCAAATCACTCTCCACAGGTGTTTGGATGTAGAGCTCTAGAAGCAAGGTTTGGTAAAGACTGGACTGGCTACTAACAACAAACCAAATCATAAGATTTCATATAAGAATTCTACTAAATAAAAATAAAACCAACAGATACACTGATTATGTTTAAATAACATAGAATGAATGTTACTCTGAATAAAGTGAGGGAGGCCATTATTCAACGTTTCGACTATTATTGAGTCACTTTCAGGAAGAAGACTTTATTCTTTATTTTTTGACTGTTAGTAAGTCATCTTCCTGAAGATGACTCAATAAAAGTTGAAACGTTGAATCACGTTCATTCTATGTTAAATAAAACTAAAGATAAAAATATAAAAAAACAATAATAAAGTTTATAATATTCTTTTACACAGAAAGGTTTAAAAATTTGTAAAAATAGTACCTCTTTTTGTTCTGGGTAAATCACACAATCATGAAGTTTTAATTTGAGGCTTGTTTCAAAACGTTTGCATTATTATATGCCTGGGTTGGACGATTCCACAATACCAGGTCCATTGCAGTTCCAAGATGTGTATAAGAGACAGGTTTCTGATTAATTTTAGGATAGTTCATGGGTTAGTTTTCTTTTTCCTTTTCTTTTTTATATTCTTCAATCCACGATTTTTTAATTGTGTAAGGCACTATACAAGTCACTTTCCATTTCCATTTTACATATCTAGATGTGTATAAGAGACAGTCCCAACAGTGGTCTTTAATTGGAGGGAGACCTTCATTAACACAACCACTGTACTCACTTGCTGAGCATCATCTTGCTTGATAAGTGAGCGACAAGTTCATCCATGGCTCTGCCATTATCTTGGCAGCAGTTAAGCAGCAATGGCAGTCTTGCTTGTATAATGTCTGACGAATGTCCATTTTTGTGTCTGTTTTCCTCCGAGTTGGCATCATGAACCATCGACAGGGCCTCAGCTTCTGTGATTATGTAGCGCGCAAGGGTACAGACCTGCCGTGCAGACAGACACAATACATTCTCCCCTGACAGGCTCTAAAACAAATTTTGACATTTTAAAATTCAAGCATTTAAATTTCTTTATCACATTTGAGTATATCACATACAGTAGTAGTAGTAGAATTTCATCTAGTCTTCAGTTGAATTGAAATAATGTAAATTAGGTTCTTAAATATATAAACTAAAGGTGTCCCTGTTTACATCAGATCAGGCGTGTTTTGTCAACACAGTACCGTTAGTCAACAATCTGGAGATGCAGCATAATCTGTACATTCCAGTATTTTATAGCAAATAAGTAAATTAAAAAATAAATACTGTCAACATTAGAGTCAGCCTACTGCACTTGAGTAGTCTGTACAGCATTAGAATGCAATATTACTTATATTGCATAAAGTGTATTGCATACTAGCAAACAGTAAGTATCCTATATCATGGGCTTATGTAACGCACAGTCAAAAAGTCAACTAAGAAATTGGAATGCTTTTTCAAAATTATGCTTCATATTTTTGTTGAATTTTAGCTTGTAACTGTTTAATGAATTGTTTTCATTTCATTTCATTTATTTGTCTCAAACAATTAAAATGTACATAAACAGGAACGGCACAGAACAATCACAAAAGCAGAAAAAAAAAACAAGAGACTGGACACTCCAAAAGTAAAATCAATCACTGTCGAGTGGAGGCCCTTCAATCACTGTCGAGTGGAAACCCTTTACTGATATTATTTACTTTCATTAAGTATATGGTAATTGGTGCGGATGTAGAATTTGGCAGTAGAGGGGTGGATGAGAGTACACACCACCTCAGCCCCAGGATGGTTAGGGCCAAGAACATTTTGAGAATGTGGACCTTGAGGTGCCCAGAAATTGCACTCTCATACCCTAAAAATTTTACCAGTAATTAATATCAACAGAACAAATAAACAATTATTTTTCTTAATACAATTTAGGAGTAGTGGGTGCGATCGCATCGTCTACAACCCCTGCATCCGCGTAAGGGTAACAAAAAAAAAATTTGAAGTATTGGTTTACCTCTTGCGCCTTGAATGTCCTGCCCTGCCAAATCTTTGGAATGTGAAGACAAGCCCAAATAAAGTCAAGGGCAGCTGATGCCTGTATCCTTTAAGAAAAAGAAAGAAGCATAAGTAGCAAGAAAATTAAAGGAAGGAAAAGAAAAGAAAGAAAAGTAAAAGAAAGAAAAGTAAAAACGAAAGGAAAAATATGAGAAAAGCAAATAAAAACAAAAGAAGCATAAGTAGCAAGAAAATTAAAGGAAGGAAAAGAAAAGAAAGAAAAGTAAAAGCAATAAAAGAAAAAGCGAAAGGAAAAATATGAGAAAAGCAAATAAAAACAAAAGAAAAATCAAGAAGTAATTTAAAGATATGGACATAAACAAATATTTATGGGAAACAGAAGATTGGTAATCAAACAACGGGGATGGAAAGGAAAAATACGTATATAAATGTTTTTGAAAGCGCAGAGGGCCAGTAATAGATGCAAATAAAATTTTTAAGCAGGGTATAGTTTTTTTACCATATACAACTTATGTAAACAAAAAGTAAATATTACAATTTGGTAAAATATCATTTTTCAAAATGATGGTAATAATGAAGATAATTAAGAAAAAAGATCACTATGTCAGCTAAAGGAAATAGTAGTGTATAAATACCAAATACAAAATAACAAATAAATACTTGTTCAGTTGTTGGTCATCCAATGTCAGAAGCCATGAGATACAGTGGTTTAAATGTTCCCAGTTCGCTTGATGAGTGAGTACAGCTAGTAGATATGCACTCCCTGAATACTGCTTTTTCCCACTACTATCACTTTTTATCTTTCTTGAAAAGAGTAGCCATTGCTGGAATTCTGAAGCAGCATCTACGATTTCTGGCTGTAATAGCTCAAACCAATCAACCAGTAACCCTGCCGTAGACTCCAGTAGTTCTCCACTGTAACATAAACAATGAATTATTTAATCTAAATTGAAAAAAACAGCATTTAAGTAGATTCCAAGTGAATAGAAAATGTGAGAGATTTTGTGTTCCTCGGCCATACTGTAATTAACAGAGCTGATTGTCGTTTCAGTGAGTTACATGTTTCATCAACTGAAGAATGTGTAAAAGCAAGGTTGTTGTATGGAATGCAGACATGGTACCCATTGGAGAAAGAGTTAAAAAAACTGGAATCATGTAGGTACTCAATGTTGAGAAAAATTGTTAGAGGAGGTTTTAAAAGGAAGAAAGATATCATTGAGCAACGAGAAAGCATTACACAAGATTACAATCTCATCTATCGCAATACTGACATTGAAACGATTATATGTTCAGTTTCACTCTTGCTGTTAATGTACCATTTGAAAGACTAATGAAAAGTCTCACTGTTCGTGGTTTACATGTTTCAAACCATATATGTAGTGTTCTTATACTAACAATTTGTGGTTAGCTTTAAATGCTTGAAATCGGTTAATAACAATTCAATGCATGCTATTCACTTTTAAAGTGTATTGGTTTAATTATGTTTAATATATTTTTTGTAAATGTATATTTGAGGTTTGCCATACCAAAACCAACATACTGTCACTAAATGTTAAACTGAGTAATAAGTATAACAATGTTCCAGTATTGTATACTTTAGTACAGAGAACCGTAATACTTTGGCAATAATAAGTCAATTCCAGTAAATGATCATTTTAAAGTGAATATGAATATATTAAAAAGTCAATTTGCTTGTTTTTGTCACTGATGCTGGTTTTGGGATGGCAAGCCCTATCTGGTTAGGGGCAGTTCTATCTGGTTAAAGGCAGTTTCAACAATTAGCCACTGGCTTTGCTAATTTCCTCTGTCAACAATGTTTTGGTGGCTGAATATTGAATTGAAAAAATAACAAAACTGGGAAACGAATATTGAAAGAAATCAATAACATTACTCTGTGGATAGTTCATCTTTGGATTGCTGAATTGCAGTCTTCAATCTTGCATCCTCAGACAAAACATCAACGATCTGTTTAGATCTGACTTTGATTGATGTGGACTGAGCCGCCTGGCCAAAGCAGTCTTGCAGTATTTCATCCAACTGCAACTTGCTAAAGCTAACATTTTCAATAGCTGCAATAAATTGAGTATTTTAACAATATGTAAGTTCCAATTCTGCTGTGCCAAATGTTAGGGGGAGAGCACCCTTGCAGAATGTCTTGTTTCTACATCAAACTCACCCATGAGTAAGTTGATCACTTTTTTTTTTGTATTGTTTTGTTTTTGTTTTTTTTTTAGTTATAAACATAATATTTGATTCTCAGAAGCAAGGGGGAGGGGATTTATATATGAGCAACAATACAAAAACAAAACAAAAACAGTAAAAATAAACATATTTGGTATTAAAAAAAAAACAAGTAAAAATATTTTATATTATATATAACAATGAATGGAAGCCCTCTAGATTTCAGGGGATACTTCCACAACTTGTGGTAGACTTGGGATTTTTCCTTGTTTGTGGAAATGCAGGAGGCCATCTAGATTTCTGGGGATACTTCCTGTTGTAGACTTGGAATTTTTCCTTGTTTGTGGAAATGCAGGAGGTCGTCTAGATTCCAGGAGACTCCCTAGACTCATGGTAGACTTGGGAATTTTTCCTTTCTTGATTTTTTAGAAGACTCCACGACTTCTGGCAGACTCCCACAAAATGAAAAGGCAGTTTCACCAAATGCATAATACCCTGTCTAAATTATCAGATTTTATTTGACAAAAAACATGTGATATGCTTTAATATGGTCATGACGACATCACATCATGACCATATATAGGCACAACATGACTATATATGGTTTGCTTACTGAAGGCAGTTGATCTTGCCAGTTTGGCTTTAGCGTGTTTGATGACGTTTGAGAGTGGAGTTGTTTGGCTGGAGGAAAGCCTTTGTCCGAGTCTCTCAAGCAGTTCATTGAGTAACTGATTGCTACCTGTTTTACATGAATTCTGAAAAATAAAAAAATTGGTCGTTAAATGCATACTGTACATAGAGAGTAGGAGAATGTGGCACAGCATGCAAGGTGTTGGACTTCTGATCATGAGATCAGAAGTTTGAGACCGACGCTTGTCGCATTGCTTGTATTTGCCTCTCTCCACCCAGGAGTATAAATGAGTACCTGGTAGGATGGTATGCCATTGAATGTTTGGGTTGTGCATGTAAAGCAGCATGACTAGGGATAATCCCCAGGGAGCAGAGAAAGTTGCACTAAATGTGCCGGTCTGCCAACTCAATATCCAGTCACCAGAGAAATAATGATGCCAGCACCTTGTATATTCTTCAGATTGTGAAAGGCACTATATTAATACAGATTATGAAAAAAGGGAAAAAATAATTTTGTCTTATATTTTACAATTGTGGTTAAAGCCTGACACACACTAGCCGCGGTTTCATTGATTACGTAATGCGATGAGGAGTGCACAACGGATCATTTTTAATGACAATTCGATTAGTCTACCATCGACAATCAGGACTCAAAGAAGGCAGAGATGGAATTGTCGGGGAACGGTTGTACGACCATACTATTACAGTAAGTACCCAGCCTATAGTGTGAAACACGCTAAAGGCCACATTGTAGAATAAATGAAAAACAATCTTACCTGATAAGTTATAAGAAGATTAAGGAAACATGATGAGATACTGTGACGGTTAATGAAGTTGTTTAAGAATTCTTGGTCTTCTGTTACCAGTTGGTGAACAGCTTGCAGTAGACTTGCCATACACTTGCGTCCTGCTTCAGCCTGTGTGCCGCTGTTGTAGGATATCTGACAACACAAATATTAGATATTACATACTGTATGCCCAGCTCTGGCACAACCTAGTAAAAATTCAAATTGATTTTTTGGTGTTTGTAGATGCTCTGGTAGGCATCTTGTACAGGGACATGTTCCCTTTTTTGCCTACTAGACTCATTACGTTTTGAGTGAAATAAAATTATGAATTATGAATTATTTGATGGAAATTGGTTATTTGAGTATTGGCAAGGTTATGAATATTCAATTAATTGGATTATCAGCCATGTAGGTTTTGAGAAAACAGCTTCCAAATCAATATTTTATTAATAAGATTTGTATTTTTAAAATAATTTTGAAATACTTATAATTTAGATTTATTGACAAATATTATGCGGAAATGTTCTTTAATATATCTTCTTTTATAAATTTCAAAAACCTGTAAATGTTAAAAATTCTGATTCTCGAATGTTTTGGGTGTTTGTAGGAAATCATAAATTGCGACAAACAGTGGATATTGCCTGAGCTGGTTACATATTTGCACCATAGTCTCTCCTTCAAACACAAGGACACAAACATTGGCAATGAAGGGTTTCCATAGTTAGGTATATACAGAGATCAGTTACACTTGGATATACAAATAAATCAACAGCATATGTAACAAAGGCAACTACATTAATAAAACCATGACCCAATATACATTCTGCATAAACCAACACAAACATGACATTAGGAAAATAACTGATTTGTAAATTTGAAAAAATGTTTCGATAAAACTGGTATGATATTTGGCTTTTTTGGCTTTCTATGAGATATGTAAAAACTACTTGAAAACTATGTTCTTGATCAGATTTAATATATTTGCCAAATAAAGTTTAGATAAACAGAAGACACTTACTCGCTGAATGTCTCTTAATAATTTCAATGCTGTTCTATTTTTGTCATCTGCTTTAAAAACCTGCAACAAAACAAGTACTTCATGCTATAACTAAATTGTTTTGAGTTATTTCAAGTTATATTAAAAATTACACAAATGATGTTGGAATGAGGACGACGTTTGGGCATGGGCGCAGCCACGTACAGGGACAATCGGTCGGTTCTATTTTTGTTGTAAGAATGTTTCCTTAAAAGAACAATGGAAATTTGTTGGTTTATTCATATTTTAGTTTGAATACTTACCAGGATAAACCAACTAATTACCATTGTTCCCGAAACAGAACACCCCTTTCAAAATTGTTCGTTTAATAGTATGACAAGACATAAAAAAATCAAAGCGTGCTAAGTATGTATTGAGTATGTGTTATCTACTGCAGTGCCTATTCGAGGGCAACTTAGCGATAAAAAAAATAAACATATTCTCAACACATTAGTTCCTTTCAGAATTATTCACGTGGTTTACTGCAAATTTATATCGAGATTTGTAGCAATACTACACAGTGTACCGAAAACCTATAATTATTTATTAACATTATTATTACCTGTGTTAGGACAAGTTTCCACTCACTGGTGTCTCTATGCTGCACTTGCTTCAACCTCACCTTCTGCACAATCACTTCTGGTTCTACCGACTCCATCACAACATCTTCAAATACAAGAAAAAATATACCCCATAATTGCAGCACTTTGGTACAAGTTGCTTATAGTTAGTTATCAACAGTTAACATAGTGAAAACATGTATTAACATGTGCTAACATAACAGCATGTATACAAATATTAAATATTAACAATAATAAATAATCCACACCCCATCCATTGTGCAATATTCTTCAAATTTTCTATATAATTTGATAAAATGTTTGTATGAAATTTTGATTTTAACTTCCTTGTTTATCTCAATTTTATTGATTTTTGTAATCAACTATTATAAATTTAAAGTTTGCCTGTTACTGTTCAGTTTTAAGCTCTATTTCACAGTTGGACTTTGTATGTATTTGCTCTTTTAATATGTATGTGTTGCTATTCTTTATAATATTTTATTGTCAATATTGTGTCAATTCAGTGATTGAACATCAAAAACGGTATGAATAATATGAATTATAACAAGTTAACATGTGTTAACATGTTAACTATTAACATGTTAACAAAAATTAAAGCATAATATGATAGAGCACATTACATAATACAGAACATTAAAACAATGGAATATGAGACAATATTTTAAGAGATCTCAACAGATTTAATAATAAAAAGCTATTGTTAAAATAATATTTTTTTATTATACTAGATATTTTGTTGGGTAGATATCTTCCACAAGGTCAAGATATGCTTTAAACGTCTGTTAATGGACTTAAGCTGGGCACTTATGCCGCTAACAGCTATCGGCCGACACGATTCTATGTAGAACGCAACAATATGACATGCGCCACTGACAATCAGCAGACGGTGTCGCATCGTCTAGGGGTCACAGGAAGCGGAGTTGGGATCATACGACGCAATGAGGGCCTGGCTTAAGGGCGTGTTTAGGTGCGAGAACAAATCCTGCTGTCAAAGGAATTGAACCCAGGACCCTGGAATTGAAAGGCAAGCATTTTATCCAAATAGCTATTCAAATAAAGTCTTTGTTGCCTGATTACACAACTTTATCACAAAAGTCAAATGATGTTCCAATGTCAATTTAAATACTCACCATCTTTAGCGGGCTCTTGTTGACCGCATCCTAGCAGCCTAAGGAAATCATGGCCTCCACTAGCCCCTCTCATGTGCTGTACTTCCACTAACTGTGCCATGTACGACTTGTCCACAACCGCTTGTTCCATTGATGCAAAGTCATTGTGGACAGCGTTATCCAGATGACTCATCAGTTTCCTATCAAGGTCAAAGTTCAAAACCTATTCAATTTAGGTACACAAACACACACACCAGACGGAAGAAGTAGCAAGGATGTGAAATCCCACTTGGGAAGTGTATTCTGTAAGCACAAACATTATCGACAGGAAAAATTCTAAAATGCTTGATATGGTGCAGAGTACTTTATGCATCATAGACTGGACTTTAAGGGCAGAAGAGAAAAATCAATGGAATAATTTATAGCTCAGTTTGCTTTTAGGTAGTAAAAGTGTAGTTTAACAGCTCAGGAGTGGAGTTGAATAGCTCAGTGGTAAAGATGTCTGCTTTCTAATCCCTAAACCTCATAAACATACTTAGTTTTTTAAAGCATCATTCTCATCCTGTAAGTGGCAAGTGTACTTGCTGTTGGATGTGAAGGAAATATTTTGAGACAAGAACCATAAACATAAGTACATACCCCATACTAGCAACTGGTATCCCAAAAGACTGGATAAATAATATTAACTGGGCTGGCTCTAAATCATGCAGAGCTAGAAAAAATAAAAACAATGTTTGATGTCAGAATGTCTTGGAAAGAGGGGTCAAAAGTTTCATTGCAGGTTAATTGCTTTGAAGACATGGGTAGAGTATCTTGTTGCCAGACACGTTCAAATAGACATTGGTATGTTATCTTGTTTATATTTCTATTTTATACTATATATTAATATATATTCAAATTATGTTACCTTAGGTTCTTTTTACTACTTGCATCGTAAATTGTTATATAATAGTTAATGTGTATAATTATATATTTTTTATTTACTTTTATTTATTTATTTTTCATGTTCTGGTGGGTGAACTAGTATAGGTGAACAACTGATTTCCTCCAAGTGTATATTTTATGTTGTGACCTAAATTTGAATAAAATAAATTAATTTGGAAGCTTAAAATGTTTAAAAGAAAAAAGTCATTAATTATCATTCTCACAATATACCTGCGTCAACAAGTCTTGGTACAGTGGAGCGTATCATCCTGAGCTTCAACCAATCAGGTAAAAGAAGCGCTTCTTCTGATGTGTCAACAAGAAACGCAGATGGAGGGGCACTGTCTTCGGGAAACCAAGCATCGAGCAAAAACAAAAACTCACTCTTACCTATAAACAAAATTATATAAACTTTTTCACAATTACAAATAATTTAGATTTGAAATGTAAGATACTGTATGCCTACTAGCAGTTCACAAAAGAGAAAAAAAAATACAAAAACATGAAATAATTAATTGTTAATAATAGTTAAATTAATATAATTTCTAACCTGATAGCTGATGTAACACAACATAGTATTTTGTTCTTACAAACAGACCAAGTGCGAGGAGTGTTTCAAACCAGCATTGATGTAATGGTTGTTGATAATTTTAACACCCCTGTCTTAATCACTTGGCCACTCAAATTGATGGAGAAGAAGAATAATTTTATGCAATGTTATATAACTTACATTTTGGCTGGCCGTATGTTAAAAGGATGACCATAGCATGTACTACCAGGATGTTGACAGTGGCCGCTTGACCGCCAGGCCATCGAACAAACACTTGGTCTTGTGTATCAGACTAACAAAATTAATTAAAATCAATTACTGTATTCTCAAGAGCATATTATAATTTATAGTTAAATCATGTTTGTTATTCTATTTGAATGTTATGAAATTCTTTGAAGCCTGTTTTCTTGGCAAATTTATTCGCGCGAATTGAAAGCGTCGGTTCGCTTCCCACGCTCTGATTGGTTGCACATTTTTTCACTTTGAAAAAAATAGAAAAAACTATGTGCCTGCGCATGAGTCAACGCTTTTGTTTCGTGTGAATGAAATCGCCTGGAGGAAAACAGGCTTTAAACTTCAAGTTCTTCAAATGTAATTGCATTAAATCAATGCTTTAATCTATATTAAATTTTATTCCTATATTATTTCTTCTGCTGCTAGCAACTGTACCCTAAGTAATTTTTGACTTTTTAAGAGATTTTCATCTGACTAGCTCTATTTAAGTGTCTTGCTTTTTGCTGATGAGGATATGTGGATTCTTAGCATTTATTGTTACTTTATGCCTGCCTTACACTATCAGTGATGTTTGCAGTGTGTATAATAATAACAATAATAATAATAATAATAATAATAATAATAATAATAATAATAATAATAAAAATAATAATAATATTATTATTTAATAACAACAATAACATAATATTATTATTATTATCATTTAATAATAATATTATTATAATTTAATAATAATAATAATAATCTTTTAGGTTATGATATGGAAATTGAGTACAAACCCATGAGTATGCTTCTTCCTTTTGTAGTGTTGCTTTCCTTAAATATCTACTGAATATTGCGATCATGGCCGCCAATGATTGGTCGGCAACTTCGTTGGTCTCTTTGTCTCGGCATAAAACGCAATGCATTATGGTTGGCCTTTCAACAATCAACTGAGCCAAGTCCTGTGAAAGCAAAAGCCATAAGTAACATGAGAATCATTTACAAAATCAAATAAAATAAAATATCTCAATGAATATGTATTTATAATTACATTTTCAGAAAAAAACATTAAACATAAACAAGTATATTGTTTATAGTCTTTATGCTACAACAGCTGTTTATTTTTTTTTTTGCTAAGTCGCTCTAGAAAAAGTGCTGCGGCAGATAACACATGTTCAGTACGTACTTAGCACGCTATGAATCTCTTTTGATACTATTAAACAACCAATTTATCATGGATTAAATAAGACACTGCAACAAGTCAGACAAATCAGGGAGGCTTTTGTACAATAACTACTTTTCTCCAATCAGATTAAATCTTCCAAGTACAGCATTTCCCAAAACCAACTTCCAAAACATTGTTAGTATTCTAATTACTTAAATAAAATCAATATTTATTCCTCCTGTATCTGAGATTTAATTAAACTAAAATTTCCCATAACTTTACATTAAAAGTGTTGTTTACAAAATTGTTATCCTTTCAAACTTTGTTGCATTTTTATGTTTAGCCAATTTTGTTAAAAGGGTGAAACACACAACAACATATTTAGATATATATTTATTACAAAAATTTGACGCAAAAAAAATTCATATTGACTCCCAGCATGACTAAAGGTAACATATCAAGTGGTCATCTGTAAACCTCTGGCCAATAACAAATACAAAAAATAAATTATAATACATGCTATTTCTATCTCCCAATGACAAGTGGCATACAGTTGGGATCATCGCAGTGAATTAAAACCTACTAAAAATCCTAGAGCACAAACAAGTCTCTTCATGGCCAGTAAATAACTATCACGTAGTGACCATTGGAAAGTCTTGGAAAATTTTTTTTACAGTACATGAAAACGCTTTTACACACGGTTTGTTACAAGACTTAACATTAATGAAATGTTTTACAAGTGAACTGGGAGTGTTATTATTGGTTACACATTGTTTACTTGCCAAGCCTAGACTTTCACACACAGCTTGTTACAGGAAATTACATTTACAAAATGTTCTAATGTGAACTGAGTGTTATTAGTACAGCATGAGGCAAAAGTTCACATTAGCAGAAATGGTCCATAGTGAGCTGTCTGATGGCTGAGAGTGAGCTGTCAATGGTCCAGAGGGAGTTGTCAGCAGCTCCATAAACTTAACTTTAATTGGTTTTAAGAATGTCCATTGAGAGCTAACAAGAGAGTCCTGGCCAGCAACATATAGCCATTGGAATGTAAAGAAGCAACCCATTACAATCACTCACTTCATCCCATGGGCTTCACTAGCAATAAATAATTTAAGAACCCATCGCTATTCAACAAACCAGCAGGATTTATAACCTGGGTTTTTTCCAAAAGTTGGGTGCCATGGACCATTTCTGTAAATGGCCAAAAATGTAGTTTACCTGGGTGTTTTAGTTTGTTTACTCACCAGGGCTAGACTTGCCATATTATGCAGCTGGTGTATTGGAGCTTGACTTGAAAGAAACACTAAGTATGCCGCGATGGCTTGTGGATCCGTTTCTACTTGGCATGCCTATAAAAAAATAATGCCAAATGTGATTATAAAGTCTCTAGCTGTGTTCCTTCTACTCAAGTTTGTTCATCAATTGCTATTTTTTTGTTTATAAAATATTAGAATTTATTAAAATAAAGGGTTTAAGATAGGCACAGGAGGGAAATACCTTGTTTTGATATGTTGTACAACTGATATTTTTGAGACAAAAAAAAGGACATTTGATGAAAAACATGGTAACGGTTAATGAGGTACAGATATTTGATTATTTTAAAACTGGAGGGAAAAGGGGCGTAACTCTTTTTTCCACCTTTTTCCTTAGTTTTTAAATATCCAAAAATCTGTATCACTAACTTGTGTAAGGGTGTGGCAAGCCTGTTCTTGGACAGAATCAAAGTGTAATAAGGAGGGCATAGCTTGCAGTAGCCAGGCATGTGTCTCTATCAATGCAATCAAATAAAGGGTTTAGACTAACTTGTGTAAGGGCGTGGCAAGCCTGTTCTTGGACAGAATCAAAATGTAATAAGGAGGGCATAGCTTGTAGTAGCCAGGCGTGTGTCTCTATCAATTTACTGCAGTATGTGTCCGCTTCATCAGAGACAGTTGCCGAATATTGGTCTTCATTTGACAGTACATCAGAGAGTGCCTGCAGAATATAAATTCAATATAAGTTTTGAAAAAAAAACCTGTTGAATGCCCATATATAGTCATGATGTGCCTATATTTGGTCATGATGTGATGACATCATGAACATACAATATATAGGCATGTCACATGTTTTTGTCAAATAAAATTTGATGATCTGGCCAAGGCTTAAGCATAAATGAATGTGTTTTGAACGTTTTGTCCCATAAACACATGCGTTTAAGTACATTTACGCTATTTTTCATGTGAGATCTTTATAATAGCCAAGGGGTGAGGGGCACAGAAAGATCAATTACCTTGGAAGCTTGAATTCTGGCTGAGCGATGCTGGGAGCTGAGTCTGCGGAGGAAGTAGTCAAGGACCTCGCAAGTGGCTTGTGCTTCACTTTGAGTTCCGCTGATAAGGAACTGTAAACGCCGTAACAACTGCTCATGCTTGTTGATTTTCTAAAGTGAACACAGCATGAAATTATCAATAACAACAAAAATATTTTTAAATTCTCGTATCATCTAATGCAGATTTTCAATGGAAGTTACGGAATCAGAATTTTTATTACTATCTTTTTAATAAGCCTTTAAAATAGCTTGATAAATTTATGTTCAAAATAGTAATACTGTATGTCCATAAAATATACATTTCCAATGAGAATATATGGTACGCAACACATTCGAGCAACATAAAAAGCTTGAAAGTATAATAAAATGATATCACGCACAACAACAACTGTCTGACCGCTGCACCAATATCATTCACACAAAATGAATAAATTTATTTAGGGTTTAGAATAAATAATGGGTTTTCATGCCAAACCTTACCTGTCTTTTTTGATTCTGCTCTTCTTCGGTTTCAACCTCAAATTGCCTGTCTTCACTTGCGTTGACTGAATCGTGTAACAGGAATTCACAAAGACACTGGACAGGCAACACGTCTAGAGAGCTTTCTGATGAATTAACAAGGTCAGCCAACCACGGCATGGATTGTGATGTTCCCTGTTTTAAAAACATATTAACACAATTTGATCATTTCAATCACCAACAGACTCAGGAAATGATGACCTTATTTTCTCATGTAGATAAATAAAGGTAGTAAGAGACTACCCTAGTACCAACATTATTTGGTCATTACTCTTTATAGTAAATAGTAAGCAATTAGTAGAGCTCCGCATAGTACACTATAGGACAATTATTATACGAAGGTTAGATTTAATGCTTGAAAAAATTTCCTGAGGGCCTGCAAGGCCCGAAGGAAATTTGTTAATGCATTAAATCTAACCTAAGTATAATAATTTTCCATTTAGTGTACAATGCATGCTCCACTAATTGCTTTATAAGTCAATCGCCGTGTTTTAATTTTAGTTTTTTATGACCAACTGCTATAGTGATATGATCAGTATACGTTGTGCGTATTTACATTTAGCTGTGCGTATGCTGATTTTTGCTCCTGCAGTACGCGTTTAATTAACAACACATCAGCAGTACAGAATGGATACGATGAATAACTATTGTGTTAAAAAGAACTTGTTTGTAATGTTATTTTAATAGACTTTACTCAAAGAAATCAACATTTCAGCATTCGAGAGAGAATACAGTCACTTTTTGGTCGGTGCATGCAGACAGGTAAAATCATGCGATGACTTCATAACTAGGCTAGGTTACAGCCTAGTAGTAGTAGGAGTAGCGGGCTGTTTTACACCAGCAGGGGGATCCTGGACACCTACAGTACCGTAAAAAAATGTACTGCAGCATCCTTACCCATTGATTTTGCCGGTCAATGCTCTACCTTATTCAAAATCAAACCGATTTCTATGAATTAAATATTTTATTAATAATAATAATGTTAGATTTATATGACACAAAATTGTGGAGCTTCGATGTGCCTAATACAAAATGTTAATGCACCACAGGCTTCTTCAATGTATTCCAGAGCCTCATAAATATTTCTTACTATATTATGTGTGTGTCTTTTAAAAAATATATATTTGAGTATTTAGAGATGTATTTAAAAACATCAGCTCAAAAACAGTTTTTGTTTCCATATTTGCACTCTGAATATGTGTATAACGAAGACTATTGTAGCCATACCATACTTACAATCTGTTCAAATTAACTTGTGGATTAAATACTGTACTGTAATATTAAATTCTTTTGCAGCCTCTGTTGACTCATTCCTTTGGCCATGAAATACATAAAAGATAAGAACTTCGTAAAGGGTATCTACAACCGAGCACGGCGCACACTTCCACATGGGTTGACGATAGAGCCAGCAGAGACACATGCCACACGAACAGGGGTGTGGGCCCAGACAAACTTTGCAAAAGACATCATCTTCGGTCCTTATCAAGGCCCAGGGGAAAACTCTGCTGAGGAGTGGAAGGTAAGGATCGATGATAATGAATATAAATTTCATTCCTGTTGTAACAAATTCAAAATCTGTTACACTAATTACAGTAAGTTCTCTTTATAGTAAATAGTAAGCAATTAGTAGAGCTCCACATAGTACACTATAGGAAAATTATTATACGAAGGTTAGATTTAATGCTTGAAAAAAATTCCTGAGGGCCTGCATCTATATTAGTATATGTATTTACATTTAAATAGAAAAATTAGTGGACGCTGGAGAATAGGCAAATAACATTCAGAGTTACAGTGATAACATCACGATTGACTTATAATACCAATTAGCACCCTGGTTCTCAACCCTCAGACAATGGTTCAAAAACTTTTTCAAAATTTTGACTGCAATATAAGCAGATATAAAAAAATAAATAAAATAAGAAACACTCCTTTGCATTCAATATAAATGGAATTCACAAAGACAATGGACAGGCAACACGTCGAGAGAGCTTTCTGATGAATTAACAAGGTCAGCCTATGTATAAGGTCAGCAAATGTATAAATATTTTTTTAAAGTTAAATAACTTAACATTTTGATCACCATCGGTCCCCAACCATCACAATTACCATTACTCCTATAGGTCATATGGGGTCAATTGACTCATAGGTAGGTGTTACGGTTAACTAGTAGATGTCAAATAGGCTGTGAAGTAGGTAGGTAGGCATTATATTTAGTTGAGTGGTCGAGCAGTAAGGCATGGGGTGCTGCTAACTACAGACTTGCCATCTGCGCTGGTTGGAGGTCTCGTGTACACATCTGGCTCATTTGTACGTTAAAGAACCCATTGCAACTTTCGGAAGTGTAGGGATTACCCCGATGATATGGTTCATTTCAGCCCCTCTCGTTGTTAATTGATTTGAACATGTAGCTAATATAAGCGCCTCTTTATTGCAGCTAGGTAGTCACAGACCACGCCCATATTCAATTCAGCATAACGACCGATACAATAGTAAACAGGTGCAATTTGTACCATAGAAAGTGTGTCAAGTCATTCTACATTATTTTAATAATTTAATCAAAATTGTTACCTGTCTTTGAATGATTTCCAACAGGAAGTCTGGGTTTCTACTTCTACACAAACGAATTCCTAACTGCACACGATGATTTAACTTACGGAGTTCTTCAAGAACACTTGCTGGTGGCTTTCTTGCAGCACCACTATAAGAGAGTTCAATATTATGCAGATAATGAACGTTTATGAGTGCAATGAAAAGAATATTTTCATGAGTTGAAAGATTGTATGTTCCATTCAAAAAGGCGGAGAGGCGGAACCAAGTGGAATGGAACAGTCAATCTTTCAATAAATGAAAATATTCTTTCCATTGCGCAAATAAAAACATTGTTTTATGAAAAAATGTTTTATAAAAAAATCCACCCTTTTTCTAAATAAAACAGTCCAGCGTCTTTTTTGCTAATCAAAAGATTGTATTAGGTTAATTGCCATATCGTATCCTAGGCACCGTGCACAAGCCGTGGAAAGAAAATGTACGGATGGAAATAAAAATGCACAGTGGAACTAAATTTACATGATAGGTGATGAAATAGGGTAAACAACCAATGTCACATGATACAAATTCACCAATTAAATGACAGGGATCTATATAGGTATGTTATAACACTATTTAATAACCTTCTAAAGGGAATTCAGTTTAGAATGACAGGCTCTAATTTACAGAATGCAAAGGTCGTGGCTTCTTATTCTTAACATTCTCTAGATTCAACTAAATCTGGAGGTAGTGTAATTTTTTATTATGACTGATTTTTACATAGGTTCATCAAACTCCCCAGTGGTAAAGGTTGTTTGGAAGCTCATTACTGTTTGTCCATGGACATCAAGAGGGGCAGGAAAAGACTGGTCGCCTCGGTAATCTGGGTCTTAGTTGAAGCTGCTGCAAGGTGAGTCTCAAACTCCAAGATATCGTGCTTCTCCATATTACACATCTGAAATGATACAAAAAATCACGATATAAGATACAATTAAGTACCAGTACTGTAGCTAAGAAATTATAATCTGAGTAGATATTGCTTCATATGTGGTATGCAGAATTCAGCCTTAGAATTTAAATGCTCTTTCCCGGGATTCATGGTTATTTTTATGTTGTTTGTATGGAAATTTATTCTGAAATAAATTACTGAATGAATGAATGAATGAATGAATATAAACCATAAATACAAGGATGTAACTTAAAATGAGAGATTAAATTGGTTTTCCATGAATTAATGGTTTTTATTGTGCATATTCAACTTCTATAAGTATTGGTTCTGCTTCAGCTAACTCCTGTTGTATATTGGTGCTACTTTAGTTAACTCTTGGTGTATGTTGGTGCTGCTTTTAATAGTTAACTCTTGGTGTATATTGCCGATAGTGTATAGTAGTACTGCTTTAGCTAACTCTTCGTGTATATTGGTGCTGCTTTAGCTAATTCTTGGTGTATATTAGTGCTGCTTCAGTTAACTCATGGTGTATATTGGTGCTGCTTTAGCTAACTCTTGGTGTATATTAGTGCTGCTTCATTAACTCCTGGTGTATTAGTGGTGCTGCTTTAGTTAACGCTTGGTGTATATTGGTGCTGCTTCATTAATTCCCGGTATAATAGTGGTGCTACTTTTGCTAACTCTTGGTGTATATTGGTGCTGCTTCATTAATTCCCGGTATATTAGTGGTGCTACTTTTGCTAACTCTTGGTGTATATTGGTGCTGCTTCATTAACTCCTGGTATATTAGTGGTCCTGCTTTAGTTAACGCTTGGTGTATATTGGTGCTGCTTCATTAATTCCCGGTATATTAGTGGTGCTGCTTTTGCTAACTCTTGGTGTATATTGGTGCTGCTTCATTAACTCCTGTTATATTAGTGGTGCTACTTTAGTTAACTCTTGGTGTATATTGGTGCTGCTTCATTAACTCCTGGTATATTAGTGGTGCTACTTTAGCTAACTCTTGGTGTATATTGGTGCTGCTTCAGTTAACTCCTGGTATATTAGTGGTGCTGCTTTAGCTAACTCTTGGTGTATACTGTTGCTGCTTCATTAACTCCTGGTATATTAGTGGTGCTACTTTAGCTAACTCTTGGTGTATATTGGTGCTGCTTCATTAACTCCTGGTATATTAGTGGTGCTGCTTTCGCTAACTCTTGGTGTATATTGGTGCTGCTTCAGTTAATTCCTGGTATATTAGTGGTGCTACTTTAGCTAACTCTTGGTGTATATTGGTGCTGCTTCAGTTGGTGGGTGTTGAAGTAAATGTTAAAATAAAATTTTTTTAAATACATCACCTGTAGCTCCCTGTTATGAGCATCCTCTGCAGATCTCTCATCAGATGCGTTTGTTGGTGGTGGGTAGGTGTAGTTACTGTAATATGAAATTCATTAGATATTACAATTCGTTTCATTCCGGATTCACTAACAAGAAACCGAAAGCTGGGCACTCACTGACTCTGATGGTCATCAGCCAACAGGATTCTGTACTGAACGCAAGGTCACACCCATGTGCAATGGAGCATTTTTAATGACGATCTGTTTAGAATGCCAAAGACGATTTGTTCAGAATCCCACTGACAATCAGTTGGATTAGTCGGCGGACGGTTTATCAACACAGTGAGTGAATGGGCTAGTTTCAGTAGTGAGGAAAAACATTAAAATTCAAATGACGATCTAAAAAGAAATAAAATCTTCCACTACAAAATTAATTTAACTTATTTTTGCCAAAAAAGCAACATTTAACTCACTTTGTCATAACCATCTCCATAAAACATTTAAGCATTGGATAATTGTCCCATCCAATACGACCTAGAATTTAAAAGAAAAAGACAAACATAAAAAAACAAACATCAAATAACACTCCAAAGAATCCATGCGTTTTCCTATTACCAAGTATCGCTCTCGCTGCATGTTTACAATTGATACCCACTATAATACATCACCTGACCTACATAGCGAAATGTTTCTATTGGCAGCACACCGCAGCAGCACTGCACACAAACCACAAACCAGGATATTCACTCACCAATACTACTTGGATTGAAAGCAGCAATAATGACAAGCAACAACCATCCTTTCCAATACAACTTGGATATAGCAAGGCTTGGCGGTTGAAATCTACGCAAAAACAAACCAACATCAGTCATTAATTACTTGAAACGAGAAAAAAAAGGCATGACACTTAAAGGATAGATGGCAAAATATTCACTCATCTATTTGAAGGACTATTTACACAGAGAGTTGGGTTACTGGCACTTTTTTTACTTTAGTTATATTTTATTTTTATTTATTTGTTGATTGTGGGACTGCATCTGCGGCAGAAGCTCTGGCCGAAGCCTTCAGCTTTCAAGTTGGCCTAAAATTTGGAAGAAAAAGAGAGCAAAAACAGCGCGCGACAGTTGCAAAACTATTTTGTCGTGTAGTGCAATCCATTTACACAGCACATGACAACAGCCATAATGCAAAGAAAACCTCAGTGGTTGGTTTTGAAGACTAAATGCTTAACGAAGCTTTACCAGAACCAAAGATTGGTAAAGATGTCTTTTCCAGCGCGACAGCTTTTGCAAATAGAAAATTTGATTCGTCTGTAATGCAATCGGCAAAGTTTTGAACCAGGTTGAACATTCCCGACGCCTGTCGGCGACTGTTGCCAATACGGTGAGCGCTTATATAGAAACCTAGCTTCAGGATTCTATCCACATTCCAGCATCAGTGACTAGAAAATGAGAACTGACTTTGTAATATATTCTTTTTTTCCGAATTATTTTCCACATTTTTATTTTCTTTATATTATACTTTACCCCTGTGGCAATGCTATGTTGTCAGGGTGATGATAAGCACTGAGATCCAACACAAAGTCAATTAACTGTTTTTTCTCCACATGAATACAGTTGTAATCTGTATAAATAATTAAAACAAAATTTAACTGAAATATTTTTATTTGAAACAATGATTAACTTAATACATACAGGATGGAAATGAATTTAAGTTGAGTTTTTTAAAAGATGGTTTGAACCAGAAGCACAAAATATACCTGTACTCCTAACCTACTAAACTAAAACCTTCTCTGGTGTAATTCAATTTAAAACTCCTTTTACAATGTTTTCAACTGTGAGAAGGCTTCTGATTAAAAGGTTATATCTTTTATAATCCATTTCTGTTTTAACTTTTAAATTAATAAAATCAACTTAAATAAATATGACTTTAACCATAGGTTTCATGGTTGGCAATGAGACCTACTGTACAACTAGGCCTTAATGCGATTTACTAAGTAGAAAGTAAGACTTTCTATCTGGCTTACAAATAGTGGTGTAAATTAAGAAAAAATTAATAATGCTTTTCAATATTAAAGTTAACATTTACTCAAGTTCCAAAATGCAGCAAATTTAAAGAGTTTTACAACAGTAAAATTTCATCAAACACTGCTCCCTACCAGTTAGTTCTCATTTTAAAATCACCAGCTATACGAGTAATTTGGTGTAATAATTTTTACTTCATACAAAATAAAACTGACATCTTACGTACCAAAAGTTTTTATCACCCCAGCAACGGCCCGTTTGACAATGAAATCAATGATGTCAAATGCTTCCTGGGCGGGGACAGGCAACTGATTCAAGCCCATTAAAAGCAGGCGTATTAACGTGTCTTCCTCAACTGGAATACCTTGAAAGAACAGGTATGCCATGACTCTAAATTATAATATAAAACCAGTTTAAAATCTTTGTTAAATACAAAAAAATGTTCACAAATAACTTCAGCGATGGGAAAGTTGTGTTGTTAAGTGATAGGCCTGATCAAATGTGCTACACTATAAAGGTTAAAGGTTATTCATTTATATTGTGAAAAATATGAAGTCTCTATGCGTAAAACAAGTGAGCAAAAAAAAAGGAAATCCAAGCCAGCACCCAAATCACAGTATGGGGATATGCCCTCGTCGCGGAGCAGGGATCTATCAAAATGTATCTTGTCCAGTACCAGTTGAGCCATCCCAGTGATAGTGATTACTTGCTACCTGTAAGCATTTAGGGACAAGTAACAGTGCTTCTGAAATTTCTTTGTCAGTGATGCTAAAATAAAAACTGAAGCTTAATAGTAAGGCTAAAATGTTATGATTAAAAGATGACGCTAAAAAGTGAAAATAAAATGTGAAGCTACACTGTACAATGTGATGCTAAAAAGTGAGATAAAAAAACTTACGATCGCTCAATTTCTTGAGGCCAGTTGTCCACCTTACAATAAGACTCTAAGGCATCCATTAAAAGAACTTTACGTAAACTTCAAGACAAAAAGTAAAAATAACATTGTAAGCAGGCATAAAAATGATATCAAATGGATGGTGTAGCTGTGTTACTAAGAATTAATGTTAGGATGCTTTTAAATTGTTGATGTATATTAAATATCTAGTACAAGATTTTTTGTCATTTTTATTGTTCTTTGGACCAAATAAATGAAATGAAGGTGTAATTAAAGAACAAACTTACCTCATCAATGACATCTCCCAAACCCCATCATGGCCACAAAGTCATGAAAAACAGGGGAAAATACAATAGTCTCCTCCTCCTTTTGGAAGGATATCAAATAAGATTAAAACATTTTACTTACCATGGCAGAAACGTTGTTTGAATATTCTGATACATCTTGGGAACCACTGTGTGAAGCCACCAGACTGCGTCACGATGGATCTTCGACACAACTTTCCTGACGTTTCTTAAAATGTCTGTAAAACATGCATCATTTAATCACTTTTAACTACTGATAATACATCCACACCAAAAACTCCTAAAAATACACACTTTCCCCAGCCACTCCCCAAAATCATGCTCAAGTTTTTTTTAAATCACCTAAAATCACCTTATTTAGCGAGCTACGTGTAGCACTCCTCACTCTATTATCAACATCCAACTTAAACTTTGCACCCCCACATCTAGATGTGTATAAGAAGACTACTAAATACAGCACTGGATAGAATACAGTTATAAATAATATATACTTATATCTTATATTCAACCCCAATAACTTGATTACTTGAATGGTGTTCTTATCAAGACCATATTAGTAAAATTGGTAAAAATGTAGAAAAAAATAATAAAACACAATGTAATAATAAAATATCCAAAACAGAAGGAAGACAATTAAAAATTCTTAGAAATCATCATACAGTAAAGACAAGGTGTGCAAACTGTCAAAGTTGTACAAGCAGAGAATCCATTAAGATAACATAAACTGTTTGAATTGTCAATACTTGGTGGTTCAATACTAAATACTTCATATTGGCTGAAATTAAATGTTATAGATAAAAACTCAGTAAATCAGTAAATGTATTGTAAATGTTGATAGTGAAATTGACAAAATTACCCCCAGTATATTTAAATAAAAGTTTGGAAACTTTATCTGGGTGGTCTAATTAAATTGGAATCTAAAGACCAATCTATTTTTTGTATATAGTTGTTAAAGCAAAAAAGAAAATTAAAATAATATTCATGTTTGAATGGTAAATATATTTGTGAAGTTGGGTGGCTGAGGGCTTCATGCTACATGTAGTAGTGATTAGGTTCACTTTGGAAGTCCTGTCTGACCACCCAGTGGATTGTTTTGTAAATGTTTTGTTTTGGCAAAAAAAAAAAAAAGAATAATATTAAGAATAAGAAATCTCATTGGAAGTAAGTTACTTAAAAAGTGATAATGCCACAATTTTTAATTCCATCAAGTAATATGTAGGTCCCCTTTTGCTTACCTTTACTGTCTGGGTTATTGCGGCTGTCCTTGGCTTCTTTGACAGTTGGTGAAACAGCCAACACCATAATAGACAACGACAGCAGGTCAGTTGTGCTTTGTAGCATTCGCTCCTGATGAAGCAAACAATTTCTTGATTATATATTTTAAGCATCAAAAAAAAAAGTTGGTAGATCCATCAATTAAGAGAGTAGATGTGCTAAATGTGTAGTCTTACCACGAAATGAGACGCATCGTTGGTGAAATCATATTGAGATATTCACCATAATAGGTCAAAGGCAACATTTTTTACAAATATTTTGATTTTAATGTTTTTGAATAACTTGATACTTATATTTTATGATTGTGTACTTTTTAAGTGAATTTTCTTACTAAAACAGTGTTCTCTGCGCATATTCTGTAATTCTTTTACTATTATTTGTACAGGTTAGTTTATCTTTGAGGTCGAATTTCTCAAAACCTGGTTCTCATACACCAAAACTTTAAATGCTAACATCTCTGGATCTATTTATCCTAGGGAAGCCATTCAAAGATATATAACTACCTTAGCAACCCCAGATTAAGTGGGCTAATAGTGCATATGATTTCTCTACTAACTCAGAGCAGATGGGGCTATATCCTTAACAACCCGAGAGTACTGTAGATTGGTCTACATGGTTACCATAACAACCCAGAACAGATGGTGCTATTGTTTCCTTAACAGCAACAGAGCAGATGGGGCTACGATTACCGTAATAACCCCAAACAGACGGTGCTATATGATACCTTAACAACCCCAGAGTAGATGGGGCTACATGGTTACCTTAGCAACCCCACAATAGATGGGGCTATACGGTTATCTTAACAACCCAGCACAGACGGTGCTATATTGTTACCTTTGGCGAGACTTTTTTTATTCCTTGATAATGAAAATATAATTTTATTGGTGATTGTATAATAGGATGGTTAAATGCTATAAATTTATATAATTAGAAAGAAATATACATATCTTATCTTTGAAGATTTCAAGGCAGTGGAGGGCATAATAAAAATATAGAAAAACTTTTACTTTTTTTCTGAAATTTCCACTTTTTCGTGGCGGCGGGTGCGCTAATTGGCCAAAAATAAAATTTGATTTTTATTCGAAACCATCAATATTTGCAGTTGACGAGTTCGCTAAACAAGGTATAAAAAAAGTCTCGCCTTAAAAACCCAGAGAAGATGGGGCAATATGGTTACCTTAACAACCACAAAGTAGATGGGGCTATATGGTTACCTTAACAACCACAAAGTAGATGGGGCTATATGGTTACCTTAACAACCACAAAGCAGATGGTGCTATATGGTTACCTTAACAACCACAAAGCAGATGGGGCTATATGGTTACCTTAACAACCACAAAGCAGATGGTGCTATATGGTTACCTTAACAACCACAAAGCAGATGGGCTATGCTATATGGCTGTCTCTTATACACATCTAGATGTGTATAAGAGACAGGTAATAACCCCAAACAGACGGAGCTATATGATACCTTAACAACCCCAGAGTAGATGGGGCTACATGGTTACCTTAGCAACCCCACAATAGATGGGGCTATACGGTTATCTTAACAACCCAGCACAGACGGTGCTATATTGTTACCTTTGGCGAGACTTTTTTTATTCCTTGATAATGAAAATATAAATTTAATGGTGATTGTATAATAGGATGGTTAAATGCTATAAATTTATATAATTAGAAAGAAATATACATATCTTATCTTTGAAGATTTCAAGGCAGTGGAGGGCATAATGAAACTATAGAAAAACTTTTACTTTTTTTCTGAAATTTCCACTTTTTCGTGGCGGCGGGTGCGCTAATTGGCCAAAAATAAAATTTGATTTTTATTCGAAACCATCAATATTTGCAGTTAACGAGTTCGCTAAACAAGGTATAAAAAAAGTCTTGCCTTAAAAACCCTGAGAAGATGGGGCTATATGGTTACCTTAACAACCACAAAGTAGATGGGGCTATATGGTTACCTTAACAACCACAAAGCAGATGGTGCTATATGGTTACCTTAACAACCACAAAGCAGATGGGCTATATGGTTACCTTAACAACCACAAAGCAGATGGGCTATATGGTTACCTTAACAACCACAGAGCAGATGGGGCTATATGGTTACCTTAACAACCACAGAGCAGATGGGGCTATATGGTTACCTTAACAACCACATAGCAGATGGGGCTATATGGTTACCTTAACAACCACAGAGCAGATGGGGCTATATGGTTACCTTAACAACCAGAGCAGATGGGGCTATATGGTTACCTTAACAACCACATAGTAGATGGGGCTATATGGTTACCTTAACAACCACAGAGCAGATGGGGCTATTTGGTTACCTTAACAACCAGAGCAGATGGGGCTATATGGTTACCTTAACAACCACAGAGCAGATGGGGCTATATGGTTACCTTAACAACCACAGAGCAGATGGGGCTATATGGTACCAAAACAACAACAAAGCAGATGGGGCTATATGGTTACCTTAACAACCACAGAGCAGATGGGGCTATATGGTTACCTTAACAACCACAGAGCAGATGGGGCTATATGGTTACCTTAACAACCACAGAGCAGATGGGGCTATATGGTTACCTTAACAACCACAGAGCAGATGGGGTTATATGGTTACCTTAACAACCACAGAGCAGATGGGGCTATATGGTACCAAAACAACCTAGAACAGATGCAGCGTGTAAGGTGTTGGACTTCTGATTGTGAAATTGGGAGTTCGAGACCGGCACTCATCGCATTGCTTGTGTCCTAGTGCAAGGCACTTTACTTACATTTGCCTATCTCCACCCAGGTGTATAAATGGGTACCTAGTAGGATGATGTGGCATTGCAAGTATTAGCCTGTTCGGAATTAAATTGCAAGCACGACTAGTAATACTCCCAGGGAGTGGAAGATGTGGCACTTTGTGCTGGTTTGATTATGGAACCGATGACCAGGGGTAATAATGACAACATCACCACACCATGTATCCCTTTAATTGGCAGAAGTCGCAGTATAAATCTCTATATTATTATTATTATTATTATTATTATTATTATTATATGTTTATACCTTCTTAATTATAAAGTACTGTACCTTAATTTGTTGATCTAAATCAATAAATGTTGAATCAAGACGTTCTTTCATCAGTCCACGACAAAATGCTGGCATATCAATTTCATAACGTAGAGAGCGGACAATTTCCCGGAATAATGCTCGTACAGCCCGCAAGTAATCATCCCTGTTCATCAACAGCTCTTGGAATACATTTGCCAGACACTGAATGGAAGAATAAAAATCGAAGCACTACAATAAACATGTATTACAGAATCTAAATTGCTTTCTGTTATTTCTTGTTTCTTGATATTGACTGTAGCAGTTAGTGTACAATGGCATATATGAGCTATCATTGATATATCAACTATCATCAATACATCATATACATACAAACTTTAATGGATATAGCATGGACATACAAACTATAATAGATACATAAACTATCAGATATATCAAGGATATATAAACTATCCTTGATTAGAAAGTATAATACATACTCCAAGTATTGAAATACACGCCATCGTGTTGGGATTCTACGGAAGCTTAAAGTGACCTTCCGAGTTTCCGAGTTTCCAAGATAATTATCTTGGAAACATGGAATAAACACTTATTAAGACGTCTTTCCGAGATAATTTATCTCGGAAAGACGTCTTCAAAACATTACCTCTAGTAGGTGACATAGCAGTGATTTAAACAAAAGATCAAAAGATTAAATCACTGCTATGTCACCTACTAGAGGTAATGTTTTGATTGGTTAAACACTTTTGGTACTAGTGCATATAAGCTTGCTAATATGGATAATTTTTTCATTCCTGATGATGACATACTTAATGTCGAAATATTGAATCCCAACACGATGGCGTGTATTTCAATACTTGGAGTATGTATTATACTTTCTTATCTGAGATTAATCAGTGGACCTTTCGGCTATCCTTGATTATTAACTATGCTTCACCTATGGTTCTGATGGTGGAACAATTCTTCTAGGATAAGGACTATAAACCGTAGGCCCAGTGTACATGATGGCTCATGTGCACTATAATGAACACAGTACATCTTTCAAGACGAGTAGTGGGCTAACCAAGTGTACTGCTTAATACAACCCATGTTGGGGACAGAAAAGAGATAGCTGGTACTGTTTTACAGAGTATTTCAGACATGAAGAGACTCTTAGGGAAGAAAAAGAATGTTACTGTACGAGCTAGTCCACTCATCAAGCACTTTGAGTAAAAAGCGCTATATAAATCAAACTACATTACATTACATGTGGCCTTTGAGGCAGCACTCTTACGTTAGCACTTGCTTCTGGTGAGTGGCTGAAGAGGGTTGACAACACCACCATATTGTTTGGGTTTCTGGCACTTGATAACTCATTGTAGATAACATGTTTTATAACGATGCTCAAATTTTCAGGATCAAAGTCAACAAGCTCCCTGAATTAAAGAAATGAACAGTAATAACTAGATTTAAATATTTTCAACTGCATTCAATAGGTTTAATTTGTGAGGGAGATTTGGATGAATTTGTTTATTTGTTGTTATAAATTTTATGTGTTTTGTTTTCTTTATGTGTGAGCTTTCCGTGTATTACAATGCACGGGTCCTTTCCTTTCCATGTTTTTCCTGCAGTTTTTGAATATTAAAACATCTGTATCTCATTCATCATTAACAAGTTTTTTGCCCTTTTATGAAATACACAGAAATTTATTGCAGTCTCAAATCAAATCAAAATTAGAGTTCAACAAAGGTGGAAAAAAACATTTAAAAAGCATCACATACTAGAAACATACAAATTTTTAAAAAATACAATTAATTTTTTGCGTCTTAGAGAAATCAGTTTTACTTAAAATTTAAGTTAATACTTAGATGCACATGGCCTGATGAAGCTCAGTCTGTCTGAACTAAATATTGGTTGTTAATGTTTTACTGTCCTTATATAGGTAAAAAATTGTATAAACATTTAACTAAACGAGGTAGCTACCTTGAAGGGTACCGGTAAAATAACTTGAATAACGAGAACTTACTTGATACACGCCATGTAGTGACTTACGAGTTGCTTGGTCTTCATGCGTATTTTGATTAGATGGCTAATAAGATCGCGGTCACTTGGGTTTTTTCCGCTGCAGTTCATACATATTGACATCAACACTTCTTGCGCAAGTCTTGTAATCTATCAATCCAAAGGATTACAATGATAAGGAAGAGATGGTGCAGGACAATTCTCAAACTAGGGGTTGCGACCCAAAATTGGGTCACTAAATACATGATAAGTTTGCAAGATTCTTTTAAGACTGGTTAAAATAAATTTTTATATATGGCTAAAATTTGCTATAATAAAGAGAGCACATCATTTCTAAGCAACATTTTAAAATTTTACTTCCATTTTGTTTACTAGTCATTGAGACATTTGTCTATTTTTTTACATATCTCAAAATGGGTTGTGGCTTGTTTGTGTCCTTGGCCAAAAGTTTAAGAACATCTGGTATAGGACAAATTTTGTACATATAATTGCATTTGAATAAATTAAAAATTAATAATGATCTTTTCTTGTTTTTTATACTTAAAGAATATATACCATTTTATCTGTAGTTTAAATGTCAGATCTCATTATATGCCAAATTTCATGTTATACTACTGTATCTTTATAAATCTTTAAAAATTAAATGAAAAAAAACCAGGAGAAATAAAAAAAAAGAAAAACATTCATAAATCTTCGATTGGATATATAAAACAATTCACCTTTGGATTCTGTAGCCACATCTCCAGTCGCTGCACCACGAGTAATCGAACCTCCGTCAAACCAGCAGTCACCGTCAACAGCCTCAGCAGGTTGCGTGGAATATCCATCGCCTGTCGACGCGCCAACTGTTCTTTCAACAAATCCACAATATATTTGTCAATACTGTTTGCAATCAGGCTGTACCTATATAATAGACATTATACAACAATTATATATTTAAAAAAATCATACAGTATACAATTTGCATTAATTGTAGCACAATATAACTTGGGCTGGCAAAATAAACAAACAAAAATAACCAAAAAATGGATCAATCTTATATCTTTCAATAAGTTTTTAAGGGAAATTTTTATAAATAAATTACAAATGTTAATAGATTCTATGAGACTAAACTTGGACCTGTAAAGTTAATAGATTCTCCAAACCATAGTGGAGCTGAGGCAAGAAAATTTATGATTTTGTCACCTATAGATGGCCAGAAATGGCGCTCTCAAACCTATATATAATTATAATTTTCCTTTTATTCCATTTATTTAATTATAATTTGGAAATATTTAGGGGAGCCTAGGCCGGCTTGGCCACCTACACCCGCTCCACCACTGCTGGGTTTGTATTCAATAGATTCTACCATACTAACAATGGGCTTGTAAAGTTTCTACCAGAATAACACTGGGCTTGTGTTAAGTTAATAGATTTACCAAACTTACCTTGGGCTTGTAAAGTTGATAGATTCTTGTGAAGTCAGGGATTCTGTAACATCTGCCGCAATACTATCGCCAGCATCAGACACAGCATCACCATCATCATGAGAAGGACTAGCACCTTTCAAAAGAAAACATATCAAACATCTAAACTACTATATTATCGGCAAATGTGTTTATTGTTATTTACTTACACAATATTTTGTGAGAGTAGTTCACCCAGCCAGAGCTGTTCAATTGGCACGGTCAGTACATAAAATAAAAGCCAATAGAATATATATAATGTATATAATTAAAGCTAGACCTACAACACTTAACAGATTTATTATTATTATTATTATTATTATTATTATTATTACTATTATTATTATTATTATTATTATTATTATTATTATTATTATTATTATTATTATGTTGTAATGATGTTGTTTGTACTGTCTTATAATTTTAATAAAGAGGGCCCTGAATGGGCTAAACTGGAAGGGTTACACTCTTTAAAGATGGTTGAAATAAGAAAAAATTAAAAAATAAATTAATAGAAGTCTGGAGTGATATCATCATCCCTAAAGGGACCTCAAATATGTATAAAATCTTGAAAAAATTTTATTTGGTTCATTTTACAAGTCTAGTGCATTATTTATTATTTATAACTATACAGAACCTCATAAATGTATTTTAATAATAGTGAGTTGAATAAGCTACAGAAAATGTTGCCTAAGTTTTGGAGGAACTCAGCCATTGTATGATCTGCTATGGTAAAGTCGCTAGGTAAAAAAGTGGTGTTATGTGGAGTCTTGAAGACAGGAATACAGTGTACTCACTTGCACTGGAGATATCAGGTGAACCACTCACTAATCTTGATGAAAATGGATCTATGCTTTGCGGTGGCAATCTCGTCCCAAAAGCAGTCAGCACATTGGTTATGAATTCCTTGCATTTTGGTTGGTCAACCCAAACTCTCTCTCCCAGGCTATCCTCAATATATACCTAAAATATTCAACAATAGAAGCAGTTATCAAGTGGCCGTGGTTCAAAATTTACATTTAGGTCAATGGTTCGAAACTCTGTAAAGTCAACTGTGTTCTTAGGCAAGAAACTTGATCTATGTTTGTTTGTTATGTTTACGTATAAATGGGTACCTGGTAGGTTATTGTGGCATTTGGCATATTCGATTGGGACTTATCCGTTGAGATGTTAGCCACGTCAGTACAAACCCAACAAAGTATTTCAAATGTTAAATACATATTCAACAAAAAAGAATACTTAACAGATTATCTGTTGAGCAAAAAAATTCCCGTTCAAATTTGACAATTGATTGTGTTTATTCCCGAGGTAGCAGAGAAATAACATACTTTAACAAAATCTTCAGGCCAGTTGTCTTCTTCAGAAAATGCAGTCATCAGCAGGTTACAGGCAAGTACCGACACCAACGGGTTACCTTTACTCTTGAAGCTAAGACCGATGTCACGCTTCAGCAAACTGCAGATTGACTGCAAAAGTAGACAAATTAATATATTTTTTAATTTAGGTACATAGACAAATGATTGTCTATGTAAACATCAAAGACATATTTTCAGTGGGGTCCTTCTGGGGGTGATTGGGAAGCACACCGGGAGACAATCCCCTACTCTTTTCATATGGACAGTACTGCACAAGTACTGTCTTAAATGGCTTAAATGGTTCAGCGCACACACAGTGGCTACCACCAGTTTAATTGACTGAGCTCAGCTGCTCTTTTCTATTTCAAGTACTGTAGTTTAAGTTAAAATTATTCTACTTGTTGTTTCATGTAGTAAATCGTATAAAAGGAGTTATTATTATTATTTACGGTAGGCCTATTATTATTATTATTATTATTATTATTATTATTATCATTATTATTAATACCTTATTAAACAAAAATGCAAATTACTGTACCTCCATTACAACCTTTGAAAGAAATAAGTAAGGCTTGGACTTAGCAAGATACATCAATGCTAGGTACAGTGTGGAGTCGGGTTTGGCTCGATTCTGCTTCATGTTTTTGATAGCTCCACACAGCAGAGCGTCTACGTGGTCTTCCTCTTCATTACTATCTGCTTCCAGCACCTTATCAACAAGTTCCCTTGGAAGAACTAAATATAAGTCGTGCCAATATAAGTTAAAATATTCAATACATAATAAATAACCAAGATATAATGTTGACTAACAGGTTGAAGAAAAAACATGCGGCAAAGACAAGCCAAACCAGTCACTCGTCACAAATTGTTTCAGAGAAAATTTCCAAAAAATGCTGGAATTTCAAATTTTTAAAAATCTATTTTATTGCACTAAACTAGCATTTATATATATATACATCATGCTATGCTGTTATTGTCCCCATTTTTAATTTTAAAACAACACTTTATAAGGATTTGATGGTGGTTTCTGCACGAAATCATAAAATTTGAAGGCTGATTTACCAGTTTATAGCTCTTATTTTACTCTTTAACACTTTATTATTAACTCAAAATCAATTATTGCAACGACTGACTGTTTTAGCTTGTCTTTGCCACGATCCGTTCAGGTGACCATTGACAATCATCAGACGGAGTCTCACGGTCTAGCGCTCAAAGAGAGCGGAATTGGATTTGTCGTATGACGCAGCAAGTGCCCGGCTTAAGTCATATGAATAAAGTCGTTGATTGTGTCTATTTCCTTATATTCCTTGTTTTAAATTTTGAATAAATAATTAGTATTGGTACACATAGTAGATTTTCATTTATCGATACCGCTATTGATGAATGGAGTAAATTACCTTATAATGTTCAAAATGCACAATCCTTATACACATTCAAAAACAATCATTAAGAACTACTATTTTTCTGAACTTCATAATATATAGTTTAAAGTCTATGATGTCAATTTGGTTGAATCTGACTCTGATGTTTTGAAAATGTATATTTATTGTATTGTTTCCTTATTGTTCTATTATTATTCTGCAATTTTTGTATTCTCATTTAGGGACCACAGTGGAAGTAAGTTGCTTTTTGTACTTTTCTGTGTTTTTATCCTTGAATGTGTTTACTTATAATTACTTCAGAATGAATAAATAAAAATATAAAAAATATTGAATTTATGTTAAAGATGACTATCCATGCCTCTTTTTGTATGATACACATTCAATTATTTTGATGTGTGTTTCCATCAGGAAAGTATCATAGAAGTGATGTTTTCTGTCGCACACACATATCAAAATAGCATTGCTGTACTAGTTATCTAGAGGTCATGGGTTTGACATTCCCACTTGAATTACTTGTGAATTATTTTTCACAAGTATTAAACTGAATATTCAGTACGATAACATGTCAGGTATGGCAAAACATCACTCATTACATCGTTGGCATTAGATACCTTCTATAGCAATTGAGTCCCCGTGTGTAGTAGTTGATGAGCTTGGTGAAGCGTTCTTTCCAATTTCAAAACCTCTACCCAGAGGAGTTAGGGTTGGGCTCAACATCTTGGTACCTAGAGGCGTTAGGGTTGAGCTCAACAACTTGCGCTTTGGCTCAAATTGTTGTAATGATGATCCTGCTTCACGTTTACGGTCGTGAATTGAGGGTCTTGCTGCGGATGAGGTTTTGACATCTGAGCCTTTTGATCCAAGAGCGATCACATCTTTGGGGTGGTGCACTAAATGGAGAAAAATAATCATGTTACTGTGCCCTGTACAAAATTTTAAGTTTATCTCAACATGCTAATACCCGATTCACACATACAAAAATCTTACCAAATGTAACAAAATGTAACCAAAAGTAACATTTTACGGCACGTGTGAAAGTACCTCTGTGTAATATCCTTGTAAAATCTCGTAACGTCTCGGTAATCTTTACCAGCCTCGCTGAGGCTGGTAAAGCTTCCGAGATGTAGCATGGATAGATGAATTGCCCTTGTTATTGATGTTAATTAGTAATGGTAGAAGAAGAAGAAGATATACATAAAATGAATGTCGGGATGGTGTTAGTATTATTACTAGTATTATCAAGAGTCGACAGAAACGTCGGAAGCTATTTTAGTAGTAGTAGTACAGCAGTTGTTAAGGGCATTGATTGCTTCGAATGTTTACTGTGATGGTGAGTTCAGCAGTCCATCTGTGACAGGGGTTCTCAACTAGGCCTAGGCTAGACCTATATCGCAGTAGGGAAAAAAATGATTCATTAAATAAACACTGAATAAATTTTACATGACCTTGGCATTACCTTACAGACGCGTGTGAATGCTTTTTATCTCGGTAGGAATAACTTGGGAGATCGCTTGGTTACAATTTGTTACTTTTTGTTAAATTTAACTTCACGTGTGCATCGGGTATAAGATATAATATTATCATAGGTAGCACAAAAGTGGTGGCTCTAGATTTTTAAGTTTTTTTCAAGGCTCTAAAAAAGCCTACAGAATATATTGAATTGGCAAAAATACAACAGTGGCAGCTCTAGAATACTGGGTGTGGGGGTTAAGCTGTCCAACAGGGGGCGTGAGCTTTATTTCATGGGGGGCTGGGAGAAACTTTTTTGGATCGCTGGAAATGGCATGCTAAGATTGTGAATGACATTTTTGGCTTGGTGTAGGCCTATTTAAAAATTTTTTTTGACCTGACTGCCTGACGAGCTTGGCCGGTGGGTGTGCTTGACTTGTGTGGCGGGGGGGGCCCTTAATACCCTCCGCCCTTCTGTTGCTAAGTATATCCAGACGCATATGACGCCCTTCTTTTCCACTAATGGAGGAAAACTTTATCACTAATCCAGTCATATACGATTCTGCGCCTTTGTGTGTGTCATTTTATTGTCTTGATTTATTTATGCCTACTTGTTTGTATCTTATGGATAATGATGGCAGCGATTTCAACCTCCGCAAAAGGAGATCATGTATTCACAGTTTGTAACGGTGGCAGAAGATTTTTAGATCCAGCCCTATTGTTTGTATTCCCACCATGCATTTCTGTGGAACAGTTTTTTTCTGTGGAGAACTCTATTATCTTGTGTTTCTAGGCCTAGTTAGTATCTTTGTTCTAATTCTTGTGATTTTGGATTGGATGCACACAATTCAAGAACCCCTACCTAGGCCTAGGCCCCCTAAGCCTAGGCCTAACTAGAAAAAAAAGGGTGAGGACATCCATCATGACGTACAAAAATAAGGATGCTGACCATGTATGTAGGCCCTAGCGTAGGCCTAAGCTAGGCCATCCTAGCTAGCTTTCCTAGACCGAGGATAAGGATTAGCCTAGCTAGCCTGGAGCCTGGGCCTAGGCTGCCCCGGCACGGCGTTTTAGTTAGGCTTGACCTAGGCCTAGGGACCTAGGCCTAGGGCCTATGCTAGCCTAGGCCTAGGCCTAGGGCCTTGGACAGGCCCAGGTTTTTTAATTCATTATTTAGCTAAGTTCCTACCTCTTCCTCGTGATGGTTTTCTCCCTCCTTTCCATTCCATTTTCTTAATTATTAATACCTAATTCCTAGGCCAACACTATCTAGGCCTAGGCTTTCGCCGTCCGTTTGGCTTGACTCTGCCAGAGCTGAGAAAGTGTTGATGGAGGCTGAGGCTATCGGCACGTCTCGTCTGTCGTCTGCCGCGCGCAGTGCGAAAAAAAGTTGTTTCTATCGGCACTGCCGCAGTGCCAAAAAGCTGTTTTTTCTATCGGCACAACCGCAGTGCGAATAAGATGCTGTTTTTTATCGGCACTGCCACAGTGCGAAAAAAAAGCTGTTTCTATCAGCATTATTGCCGCAGTGCGAAAAAGTTTCGATTTTCTTTCGGCACTGCCGCAGTGCCAAAACACGGCAGTTTTCTATAAAATAATAATAATAATAATAATAATAATAATAATAATAATAATAATAATAATAATAATATATAAAAATAATAATAATAATAATAATAATAATAATAATAATAATAATAATAATAATGATAATAATAATAATAATAATGAAGGTGCCCGAATAATGCTTTAATTAAGAATTAATAATACTTCAATAATACTTCAATAGGCTTATTTACGATAGTATGATTAATGAGATATTTGTTGATTAATTTATAGAAATATATAATAGGTATATACCATTATTAATTATTCAGCATATTAAATCAAAATAGATGTAAAATCTGGGTTTTTTTCAATAAAATTTTATCTATTTTTGTTCTGTTTAAAAAAATAATCTTATAAATTATAAGTTTTATTGTAAATTCTATGAGAATTTAATCCACATAATTTATGTTTTCAATTAAGCATTTAAACAATTCAATGAGACTAACGCTGCATGTAAATGTGAAACAAAACAAAAGCAAAAAGCAAAAACAAAAGCATCGAAAAAGTGTTTTCGTTATATGCAAATGCTACTATCGCGCGATTACCGCGATTTTTGGTAAACAGAGCTAGGATGGTTCACACGAGGTGACGAATATCCGTCGAAATGCCGTATAAATAAACTGCAATTATGTAAATAATTTTCACACGAACTTTACGAATATCTTAATTAATATAATCTTAATCTTCAATTAGTTAATTACTAATTAATTAATATATTTATATAAACATTGTGACCTATAAGTACAATTTATTAATATATGTTAATTAATTATTTGTATTCAGTTGTCTTTTGTTGGTCATTCAACTGTCATTTTACCTATTTTTTCGGTGATATTACCGTTCTCAATAATCTTTAAAACACCCACATAACAACGTCACGTTAGATCGATCGGTGGGGACGCCGTGGTGACGCCAATAGGGTCAATTTTCGTCGGAAGGTATCAAGATGATAAACAGTTTCATTGGACTAAATTCTTGCTTATGTTAACCATGCTTTCCTAAGATTATACTGACATTATTTTCAAACGAAATAACTGACAACTTTGTTTTGTGTCAATGTTTTAATAAGTACATAAAACTATGTCACAAATACCGTACGTTGTTTTTATACTTTTCTTGAAATCTGTATGCCTGATCACCGTCATCATACACATTATAATAGATTCAATGTTTCAAATGATATAAAAATAGATGCGAACATGCTTTTGGAACAGGTTTTTTCCCCCGAGTTTTATTTACCTTAGCCGTCTTAGAAAGCACTAGGATTAATCACGCCAGGATTAATCACCACGCTGTTTTTGTATTTTTCTTGAAATCTGTATGCCTAATCACCATCATCATACACAGATTCAAGTAAGATGTTTCAAATGAAAACTCGTCGTTGCCATTAATTATTATCAATACGGTCCCGGCGTCATTCCTTGAATCGGGACGATACGTATACTACTTTACCGCTTGAGTTCACGATGTACACATGACATGGATCATATCATTTAAAGATAATTATTTGTCCCGAATTATAATTTATATTTTTAATGCATTACTAGAGATAGCACCCTGCATTCAACAATTATGTGGATATTCATTGTATTGTACTCGTTGATGACGTCGCGAAATAACAACAAACAACAACGTGTCATGTCCGAGCCTAGGCCGTCATGGAAGCTCACTGCTCCTGTGTAATTCATGTTGAGCCAACTGCAGACGAAAAGGTTACAATCTTTTCCTATATAAGAAATATTTTCTTTAGACGTGTGTCTTGTTGTCGTCTAATATGTTCCCTGTTTGTTAGTAGTGGTGATTGTGGTAGTGGTTTGTGATAGTAATGTGAGTGTTTGTTGATAATCAGGTACATAAGCAAAAATATTACTAATAAAGCCAATTTGAGTTTCAATGTTTAATTTGAGACCCGAACTATGTAGACCTCACAAACAATTCATTACTGATCAATTTTTAGTAACTCGTTAGTGAAATAAATAGGGCCTTCAAGGAAATACTGTCTCTCCAATTGTACGGGTATGAAAACTTCTAGATAAGTCTTGTATTCGCTTAAATTTCTGTGATTAGTAATTAATTTTTGCACACTTTGACTTCATTCTGGCCCACTGTGCGTCGGTACGATGTTTCTTTAAAAAAAAAAAAAAAACAATTACGATGAATATTCTCCGAATTCTGAAATGCACGCAACTATAATTAGTATTTCATTCATATATTAGTAAATAGGAAGAAAGTATTATCGTGCATGATAGGAAGGTAAGACATTCCCAACGTCAACACAATGAGAGAGGTACGTATGCGTCCCGATTGTCATGTGCACGTCGTGAAATCAGGAAGTGATTGAAGATAATTTCGACGTGCCGTCTTGATCCAAATTAGTGACACCGGGGCAATAGTTGATAGTAAATAACAGTACATTCATTATCCACCATCAACTAAACTGCCTTAAATGGGAAAAATGGTTCGTGTGGGAATCGAACACACAACCTCCATGTTTGCTATTCATTATCCACCATCAACTAAACTGCCTTAAACAAAACAAAAAATTGGCTCGTGTGGGAATTGAACTCACGATCGCTGAGTTTAATACCCCTGATCCAGCATGACTAAGCGGAGGGAGGTAAACCGCGGCCCCTAAGCCATAAATGCAATAAACCTTGTACCACACCAAGTACCAGTTAGTCAACTAATCCTACTATACAAAATTCTTCGTATATATACACTGCAGGTTAATATTACGCATGGTCATGGTGTCAAAAATGAGCAGTGGACCAAGAGGGTTTATTGTTTTTGTCTAAAAATGTAGAATTAAATTTATTTAAAAAAATGAACAAAATGAATAATAGGTCAATTTATCAGGCGCAAATAAACAAGGTGTAAGCACGAAATAATAATAATAATAATAATAATAATAATAATAATAATAATAATAATAATAATAATAATAATAATAATAATAATAATAATATTGCAGCATTCGTAAAATGTTTGTCATTGGTGCTGGAACCGTTTTGCATAGGTTGCAATTTGTTGTATTTATTATCTTAATATTTTCATAACGGAGAATTGGCATTATTCATAATTATTTTAAATATTTTCCATTTTCTGAGCGTCATTTTCAGATGTCTAGAGGTGCAATCCTAAATATAGTTGGCGCCTGAGCCTCGTAGGCTGGTGTTTTACTATTTCTGGCCTGCGGTATAGGAAAACGAGATTGAAACAACCCGACACCCAACCCGACATATACGAGAAAAAGCAGTTACCGGTTAATTTCTAATACGTAGAGCATGGCGCCAGGGAGTCTCCCGACGGTAGGCTGATCTTCGATTCTCAATGGACAGCTACCGCCTGCATCAGAGCAGTCTTCGGCCTTGGTTTCTAGCCGCCAGTCTGCTTCTTCATTTAAATGGGTAAAAAAGTAGTCAAACATGCCCCTGTTTTTTTTAAAGTTTGAAGAACTAAAGTTCCGGTCAGAAAAACCATGTGCAAAAATATAGGAAAACGGGATTTAAGAAGAAAATAAATCAGAACAAAAACAACGGCTTTTTCTGCTAACGCAGATGAGGTCATAAAGAACAAATTCGGTAACCATATGAGATCTAATTAATATGTGTAGAAAATAAACCTTAAACACATTGTCTTTGATAAATGCAGGGTAAACACCGACCTTTTTACAGTTCTGTATACAGCTTTAAAGTCCTTAATCCGACAAGGAGAGTCTTCTTTGTAAATCAAAAATCAGATTTCCAAAACGACGATTCAAAACAAAAAATGCTAGACAGCTTATAAATATAACAGTAAGTTTTAATTTTGGAGACATGTTTCGGTTAAAACATTAACCGTCATCAGTTCAACACAAAAAAAGAGTAAATAAAAACAGAAAACATTGCGCTCAACATAGGCCTAGTCCTATTATTAACTAGAAAAGTTAACGCATATGCATGCGGCAGTCTTTGTATTGTTATAGTGTGATTATAGTGATTGGTCGAAAATGAATATGGTCAGATATTTAAATTAGATGGATGGCGTTAAGATGACTTGTTGGTTTAGGTCTGGATTCTCCCATTTTATGTGTAGGGCTTCTTTGATTGCTACAGCTGTAGTTCTACTTACTTTATGCTGAAAAAAGGGCGGATGAACTCCTCGGAGCCAACGGCCAACCATGCTTTAGTTTAGGAGTAGGTTTTTTAGTTTCATAAAATAACATAAACTTTTTAAAAAATGTCAAACTCAAAGAGCTCAATCACCAAGCATAGAGGCTTTTTCGCATGATGCACTATACAAATCCAACTATTATTATTATTATTATTATTATTATTATTATTATTATTATTATTATTATTATTATTATTATTATTATTATTATTATTATTATTTTTATTATTATTATTATTATTATTATTATTATTATCCTACATTTACAACAACAGCTCGTCAACCCAGAATCATTTTCGGAGGAAACAAAAGTACGTTCTAATCTAATTTTTTACAGTGTTATGTGACGTTTGAACGTTCCTGCAACGTTGTGTGAACGTTATTTGAACATAGCCACAACGTTCGCGAATGTTGTTTTCTGGGAAATTGCAAAGTAGGAGCAACTCCTAGCTGGGCCCCCTTTGAGTGGTACGTGATCGACCCTGGCTGCGCTCCCCGGACTTAATTATGCCTACAAACAAGGTGGTGACAAAAATATCACCTGGACAACATCCATGGCCATTTCAAGTCAATAAAAAAGAAAAAAACCAATCAACCCAGACATTTCAAGAATTGTGGCTGACTTCTTTCCCCGC